ATATAAAATTGTGTATCAAAATAATGCCCTTCATAGGTATGAATGACAATAATCGGATCTTATGCAGTGGAGTTGATGAATATATGCAAGAAACTGAAGGTATAAGTTTAATTATAAACAAAATGGCAAATCATGTAAGAAAGAAAGTAAAAATAAAAGTATGTGCAAGTATGAATTCAGAGGTTGGTGACAGCTGCACGTTATGCTTCTTTGAATGATTAAAAAAAACAGGGATGAGAAGTTGTACAATATTCTGAATGAATGTAATCTGGGAAAAAGTTATTCTGCTTGGTGACAGAATAATTGAGACATCTGTACCATGTTTATATAACTGTTCCATTTGGTCTACAAATCATTGGTTTCTATCTTGCCGGCTTTAGACCTGAGAGATTCTGAATGTGGGTCAGGCCATTTTCTGGAAGGTCAAGAGTATTTTCTTGGGGGAAAATGAACTTAGAAGAAAAGAAAAAAAAATGGGCAAAACTAGACTGAACATAGACTACAGGAAGAGAAAATATGAGTCCTGTATGAAAAGTATTAAAGGATAGATTAATTTCCCAACAGAATGCATGGAAAACTGCTTGGGAGACAGTGAAAATAATTACATTAGATAAGTTTGTTCAGGTATCCTAATGGGAAATATGAAAAAGGATGCTTGGAGGGATTATGAGGTGAAAGAGGGTGTGTATAAGAAAAAATGCACGTAAGAGAATAATTGTTGCAAAAAATGAAGATGAGAGTTCTTACTAAACGTATATATAGAGAAAAAGATAGTAGCTAAGCATGCAGTCAAAGAGGGCGAGGAACTATTAAGATTAAAAGAGGCAGTGAAAATACATAGTGATTTTGATGAAAAACTTAAAAATATGTTTTGGCTGAAACAAAGTGATGAAATGACTTGGGTTGAAACTGAAGAAAGGGAATGCTGGGAGGATTATTTTAGAGATTTGTATTGGAATGATAGTGAATGAATCCTATAAGTCTCCAAGAAAAAAAAGGTGAAAAAAAGTCATAAGTGCTGTGAAAATTATGCAGAATTGTAAGACTGAAGATGCAGACTATGTTAACTTGAGAGATGTTAAAATATGGATGTGCTTTGTTATGGAGAGGGTGTATGATTTTTGTAAAATATGTTTGAAGACTGCATCTATTACCGATGACTATAATTATTGTTCCTTTATACAAGAGGAAAGACAATAAAAATGAATGCAAAATCAAAGGGGGATTAGTGTAGCTGGGAAGGGAAAGAGTTTAAGAGGTGACAGCAAAATTTGGAAGTGTGATTTTTATGCTGGGCAGGTGGTATGTAGATCAGATTTTTGTGTTTAACATATTTTATAAATGTATGAGTATGAGAAAGAAAGCTTATTGTATGTTTATTGATTCAGAGAATGGGTATAATAGTGAGCAGGTTTGAATTATGGTATTTTTTTTAGTAATTACAGAATTGGTTGCAGAATGTGGTGAGAGCTGTTAGAAGATACAAGAGTACTATTTACAACTATATCTCTTAATACATTGAAAAAGAGGGAAACAGATATGGAAAAACAAGAAAAAACTTCCCAAAGATCTCCAAACTCAGAAGGAGTTTCCAGCCTTGAATTGGTTTGCTAAAAGATGCCAATGGACAGATAATAATTGATTCAAACCAGATCAAGCCGAGATGGAAGGAGTGTACAGAAATTCTGTTCAGTAGGGTTGCCAACTTCTGAAGTACCTTAGAAGATACTCCTTTTTACATGACCCTTAGACAAAATTAGATCAGTACTCAGTCATTACCAAATTGGAAGGCTACAGGAATAATGGAACATCTAATAACGGCATACATCAAGCAACAGAAGAAGAAGAAAAGGTTCTAATTAAACTATGACAGCAAATCTAGAGAATGATTCAGTGGCCAACAGCTTGGAAGAGGTCAATCTATACCAATAACAAAAAAAAGACGACTTATCACCTTATGCAAAGTATTGCATAGCATCCTTAAATTCATATTAAGGTAACAAGAGACATCATTGTTAATGTACCCTGGAAAATAGAGAAAGCCAAATACCAGAATATGTGGTTCATTGGTGATTCAAAGGCCTTCAGTTGTGCTGACCATGTCAAGCAATGGAATGTCCTTTGGAAAATGGGAACCCTAGAATGTCATATTATTCTCATGTGAAATTTATACGCAGAACAGGAAACCACAGTCATACAGCACATGGTGAAATAGACTGGCTCCAAGACAGCAAAGGAGTGATACAAGGCTGTATACTTTTTCCTTATTCATATGCTGAATATATATCGAGGGAGGCCAGATTGGAAGAAAATGAATGTGGTTTTAAAATTGGAGGAAGAAACTCAATAACCTCAACTATGGAAAATGCAAATGATCTATAAGCTCTAGTAATGAAAGTCAAGGAGCATGGTGAAAAAAATGGGACTAAAAAAGAAGACTTATCAGATTGTGCAAAGTATTGCACAGTATCCTTAAATTCATATTAAGGTAACAAGAGACATTATTATTGGACTAAAGAAGTCCAAACTAATGATAGCAAGTTCAGCAATCATCCTTACAATTGACAAGAAAGGCACTGAAGTAGCATGTAGCTTCTGTCATTTAGGATCGGCTATCTATTTATTTTAAATTCTTTAATCAATTTACATAACTGCCCTACCAGGGACATGATTCAGGGTGGTGTACATCGTCATTCCCTCCCTCCAATATATGGTGGCAGTGATTGGAGGGCTTTGGAATGGAATAAATTTGGATTGAATACAAAACGAGTGATACGTACAAAAGAAGTATGTTTAAGTGGTTTTGTCATATAGAGAGAATGAACAAGGATTGAATCCCAAAACAACCATGTGAAGGAAGAGTGAAAGGGTTGAGGAGAAAGAAAATCTAGAAAGTTATGACTGGTTTGATATAAATTAGATTTAGTTAGCCCTTCTCCCCTTTTTTTCTTTTGCTTACCACTATTTACCCTTTTTCTGGTATGTGCAAAACATTGTTCAAGGGGATCACATGATTAGTATAAAAATGTTTGTGTATAACTTTTCTTGGCTTCTGAAATAAGAAATAAGTCCTTTTTTTTCATCTTTCTTTGAGGTGTTACCCACCTTCTAGTTCTGGAAGTTCTTACTAGGGAAGTTGCAGGCATGATAGAAATGAGCCCAGCTAGTTCTACTGGACTGAACAACCCAAGTTCTTGTAGCACTGTACTCTGTTTTGTTGCTACACTGTATGTTCTACTTTTCTGTTTTTTTCACGATGAAAATAGATGCAACTTTAATAACATCCTAAAGATCTCTTATTCTTTATCTATTTTAGGTCACTGGGGACGATGCATTGGTGATTGTGGTTCAGGTGGTATTCAGAGCCGAGTAGTTTGGTGTGTACACTCAGAAGGCTGGACAACCCATCATTCAAATTGTGAACAAAGTGAAAGACCTGAATGCCAGAGGAGCTGTTTTAAGATATGTGATTGGCATCTTGAACTCTTTGAGTGGGAAGTTTCAGAATGGAACGTATGTGTTCTAGTCCCTTTTGCCCATGGTGAAGTCAAACCAAGGACTTCAGAGTGTGTAACTGCACAGCATGGATTACAGCACAGAACTGTACAATGTATACAAAAGTTGAATAGAACAGTGGTTGCAAATGAGATTTGTGGTTATTTTACTCCTCAGCCACCTATGGAACAAGCCTGTCTAATACCTTGCCCACGAGATTGTGTAGTATCAGAATTTTCTTCCTGGTCTGAATGTAGCAAACATTGTGGAAAGAGTTTACAACATAGAACCCGTTTTATTATTGCTCCTCCACTCTATGGTGGAACCAAGTGTCCAAATCTCACTGAGTCCAGGGTCTGTGATGTTTCAATGTCTTGTCCTCATGAGGAAGAGGAATACTCCTACAGTCTTAAAGTTGGACCTTGGAGTAAATGCCGGCTGCCTCATCTTAAAGAGATTAACATGGTTGGGAGAACTATTCTGGACTTCAGCTCAGATTCAATGGAACGAAGCACTTTTAAGCTTGAAATGGTTGAGAATTTGCAAAATTCTCACAAATTCAGGTCCCACTACAGTTCCAGGTCTTGGGATATAGAAATTGGTTATCAGACAAGGCAGGTGAGGTGTACAAGAAATGATGGGAAAAATGCTATATTGAGGTAAGTTGTCCTCTTTATTCATGACAAATCTTTTCTTGAAAGGCAGTTACATTTCCTAATGGTAAGAGCTGTTTGCTAATGGAGCAGCCTACCATGGGAGGTGGTGGACCATCTGCTGGCAATTATGTGAGTAGAGGCTGAACAACCACCTGTCAAGATTGCTGTAGCAGCATCTGGCATTCAGCAGAGAGCTGGGCTACATAATGTTCAAGATCCTTTTCAGTGTTACATTTCTCCAATTCTATCTACTTTTGTCTATCGTGTGTATATTTTGCCATTTCCAGTAACATTTTATATTTATTCTTATTTAACAATAGGGTAGTCAGGATTACATAGTTTAGAGAGATAGTACCATTTAAGTGCTTCTCCTTTTTTGGCAGATTTTCAACACATTTTTTCTGCTAAAGGGAGCAGATAGCATTCATAGCCTACAGCAATTACAAAGGCTTTTTTGGATATTTGCAAGTTACTCAACTCCTGATTATCAAAAGAGACACAGATGTGTGGAGGAAGTAATTCTCACCCATTTATGACTGTCATGTCTGATGGTGATTCATAAGAGCAGAACACGTCAAATACATTTTATTACACTTATGTAACAGCCTTTCTTGTCTGGGACTCTTTAGCTTGGAGAAAAGGCAACAGAGACAGGACTAGATGCATAAATCATACATGGCACAGAAAAATTGGAAATGGATCATTTATTTATCTCTTTCAAAACATTGGGGCAAGTAAAGTTGTTTGGAAGGGGATTTGAAACACATAAAAGGAAACACTTATTCCTAAGAGACATGGGGATGGTTGCTAATTTGGACAACTTTAAACAGCAATTCAGGGAGAACAGGTCTGTCAAACTTAACCGGTCTTGAACATTCATTCTTTCTGGGGCAGCGTTCCTCCAAATATCAGTGGTAGTGGAACAATGGTGGGCAATGATGACATCTCCATAGTTTCTTGTGATCACGCCAAAGGAATCTGGATGGCCACTGAGAGAGAAAAAATGTTGTATAGAGATGGACCTTGGTCTGATCCAGCAGGGCTACTCTTACACATATTAGTACTGGAAATTAATGGGAATGTTGAAGATTGAAGTGGTCCATATATATAGATGAATCTTTATAGAAATGAATCTTGCTTAGGCCATCGCAGGAGAAGCAGTTGTAAATTACTAAGGTAACAAAAAGAATTTATTTTTGGTGTGGTATGGTCTCTGCTAATCTGGCAATTTAGGGTGAATCAAATTCATGCCAATATAATGTTGCAAATCATGTTACAGAGAAACTACTTGATAAATATGTCTGATACCTGAGAGTTTAATTGTTTGCTGTAACTACCTCATCGTAAACCCAATATTTATTTATACTGAATCATCAAATTCCAATTCAAGCAGAATTTTGCATTTTAGAGCTGAAAAAGGTTGGTTCATACTTAAAAAAAAAAAAGTTCTATAGTTGTTGAGTAGTTAGTAAGATTAATCTTTTTCACTACAATTTTTTTTGCCAAGCACAGGAAAGATAATAATTCCATCAGCAGAGTGTATATCACCATATTTAAACTTAGCTTTTTATGCAATGGGAGCTTTGTCATGTCTCTCTGATAAGCTTTGACATTTCTTTCTGTCAACTTTTTCTGGGCTATTTTTTTAATAATTCATGTGATGTAAATGTAATAAATACATGGAAATAATAATTTGAGGACAAATGATATTTTAGCAGCAAGTATCAGGGAATGATAAGTAAAATAACACTGATATGTAGCATTAGGTTAGGTATAAAATATAACAGATGATGGTGGCTGAAATAATGTGAGATATTGTGGCTTTCTCAGAGCCTTTTGGTTACCTTCATATGACCTGTAATTCCCAAATCTTGTTAGAAGAAAAAAAAAAAAGGAAGGGGATAGAAGGATTTCATTAATGTTGCTGAAATATTTGTAGGACCACTGAAGTAGAAATGTACTTCTTAGTGTATTTGTGACCTTTTGTTTATTACAATGTGTGTGTGTGTGTGTGTGTGTGTATCTTTTTTGTTGTTTAGGCAAAAGGCATATTGGTTTTGGGTTACATAAAGAGCTAATGCAAACTGTCACTGCAGTTCTTGTGGTTCTTGTCTTACATAGCGTTAAAGATATAGCCAGCTTCCAATCTTGTTTAAATTATTCTGCAGTATTGTAATTGTACAGGAGTCTCTGTACTTAACTCCTGTATACACCAGATTATCTTGCAATATGGCTCATGAGGAAACTATTAAAATGCATCTTCATAAGCACATGCGTTAGAAACATTAGACAATGCTTCTGGCTTTGTTGACTGGTAGGGAAAAGGTATATTTCAAGAGAAAAAGACACCTGACAAAGGTATCCATTCATTCATGCATGCATGAATTCATTTTGGTGCAGATTTGAATGGTTTCCTCTTCTAGATCAGGTTTTACATAGGTTAGACAGATTCTTCTTCCCTAAACTAATGTTGCTGAATCAGTTTAGGCATGCACCTTTGTAGATACCTGATTGGATAATGGCAGTCAGATGTTTCATTCAGTAATCTGTCTCTCATCCATATATTTTGAAAAAAGAATCAGGCTGGAGCAAAGGGATGAAATCAGTGACATCGAAATCCTTTGCACCTCAGCACAATATCGTTTGCTAGCATGCAGGGGTGATGAGTCCGGGACTGTGAGTGGATCCTTGCTCATCTAGACTGGAATACCAATAATCTAGCACTATAATTACAGTTGTTCTGTAGCATTCACTTTCAAACCTTGAGGCTAGTTTAGCTGGCACTTGCCTGTCTCTGATCCTGAATGATACAGCTGTCTAATAAGGAGGTTGGAGGAAGAGAGAATTTACTTTTTCTTCTCTGTGATGTATCAGTGTGGAGTACAGCATTTCACTATTTTCACTCTGCTTTTTGGAGTGGTGGAAATTATTTGTTATCAAAAGTAATTTCTCCATTGAGGGTCCTGAGACATATATTCCCAATCTCATTTCCAGCAGGTGAAAATGCTCTTTCAAGGCAATGGGAGCACCCATCACTGCTTCCTTCCCTTGTCTGAGATGAACTTACTGGGCCTTGAAGCAAAAGAATGGAAGAAAGCAGTGATGATGGCACTCACAGCAATAAGAAAAGCAAAGAGTATCTGCTCCGTTTGTCATACTGCTATTTGCGGGGATATGAATAGGAGCGATTGCTTTGGTGAGTGTCCCTGTTGCATTGCCCATCTCCGAATAATAATAATAATAATAATAATAATAATAATAATAATAATAATAATAATATAAAAAAATTGAAAGATCTGTTTTCACATTTTCACATAGCAAATATCAATTAAATTCATTTCCAGTTTACAAAGCAGAAACAACCCTTTAGTACCTTTGCAATTTTATGCTACATTTAGTGTAATTAACCTCATATTATATGTAATTAAATGCTGTGATCCTGTTACAAAATTGTAGCATCATGAGACATTATACAGAAAGGGGCTATTGAGCTTATCTCTCATTTCAAAAAATTTACACCCTGATCTTAATTATTTAAAGAATAAACTTATTAGGTGAGGCCTCATTTTCTATATGGCATTTGCATGGCCTACACATTATTTCAACTTTCCAGGCAGGTACCTTAAATCAATATAATAGAAATATTGGAATCTTTTCAATGTTGCATGTTCTTATATTATTTTAAGTAGTCCTTTAGTTTAACCATATGTACAGTCTTACTCCTGCAATGTCTCTCTTGTTTCGTTAATCTCTTCTATTGCTTGGCAAGAGATAACAAATTAAGGATTGATAAAATGTAACTTGAAGATCTAATTATTATGGAGTCCTTGTAGTGTTTTTGCTCTTCATTAATAACTCTTCAGGATTTGTTCTTAACAAAATGCTTTCTTATCACAGCCTTTGTATGCAAGAAACCATCCCTTTGACTTTTCGCTCCTGTATTATGCCTAAAGACTGTGAAACATCTGACTGGTCTTCCTGGAGCTCCTGTTCAAAGACTTGTTACTCAGGGGATCTCTCACCAGGATTCCGCAGCAGAACAAGGATTATAAAGCACGTAGCTATTGGAGCTGGTAGAGAATGTCCTGAAACTGAAGAAAGAGAGGCCTGCAATACTGGTGGTGGAGGAAAACACCTCCATCCTTGCCCAAGGTATCCCATACTGTTCTATTTCTCTTACTCCACAAGAGTTGATCTTCAGGTGCATCTGGTGGTTTTATGCTACTGTGGTCCTGCATGTTGGTCTAATGCAGAGCAAAAGAGTGAGTCAGTGTACATTTCTATGAATATGACGCATATATCTGAACCCTCGTCCTGCATGTAACTCAGGATGCTTTTTATGTTCTTCAGTGTAGAGACTAAGGAAGATGACCTTGAAGGAGATATGCAGGAACATGTTTTAAGTCTAGAACAGCCTTAGGCTCAGACAAACTAATTCAACTGAAGTATAAGAAGGAAGATGTATATCACAATCAGACTTGCAAGATTCTGTTATAATAGCCAGTTGATATAAAAGTAGTTTTAGCCTTCCTGTGGAGTTGAATTGCTGGTCTGATCCAACTAGTGGGGCTGACGTTCTGTATCCCAACACACTCAGGCAGAAAAATATTATAAGTGCCTTTGTGTCAACATTCCCTTGAGCATTATCTGAGTTTGATAATGGGGTAAATGAGAGCAAACAAACTAATCAGGAGGATGCCTGGTTTTGGAAATGAAGTTCAGCTTGTTCTTGATGGTTTGTGCTTCCTCTGAAAGAGCAGTCTGGGATGCTCTTTGATTTTCAGATTTCACTAGATTCACAGGTGGCAATTATAGAGAGGAGTGCAGTTGCACCATTACTGCTAATGTGACAACTGTGACTGCTCCTGAGTCAAATGGATTGTCACATTCCATTCAGACTATTCAAAATGCTGTACATGAAGTGTATGCAGAAGTTGGTACAAGAGGTAGCAACTAGGTTGCTAACCCATGCAAAGTGTTAGGTTCACAGAATACTCATACTGAAAAATCTGCATTATTGCTTTCCGAGCATAATTTAAACTATTGGCACGAATTGTTAAACCCTCAATGGCTTAAGCATTGAGTATTTGAGACATTGCCTAACCTGTTAAGAACCTGCTGCTAAGACATGTAGGAAAGGCCTTCAGAAGTTGTTGTCCCCACCCTTCCACCCTAAAATAGCATGCCAGTCTTATGAATAAAATAAATGTGTCATTAACATAAGAACAACTTTCTTTTCAGAGATAGATCTTCCTCAGTATTTTGAAAGCTGTGTTCACATGTACAGTATTGGGGGAGATATTGAGGGGAATGAAAGATCAAGAATTCAGTCCATGCCTTTTCATTGCTGTTTCGTTGCTGTGAGAATTTTTAGAACATCCATAATGTAAGGTTTTTGCATATTCTATCATCATGGTTATTATCAATAAGAAGGGAAGGGAAGTTTAATATTAGAACCAAAGCAAAACATGAAAAAACACATATCTAGATGTTTAGTACATAATAGTTAGGCATATAACTAGATGTGTAACATAACTATCACGCATATAATTATCTAAAAACAATGAGGTTTCAAATTTATTAAACTTTATCCCTATTGTGGGTTTTGACCTCGACTTTCTGTTGAATTACTGAATTCTTCAGAACTGATATTCTGCTTTTAGTAAGTTAGAAATCAGAAGTATATAAAAGTCAAAAAGAGATTATGAGTTAGACGGTTGTGTGCCAACAGAGCAAGGAGTCAGGCTACTAGATCACAGCTACTGCTGTTTGAAAATGCTATCATTGAAGTGAGAGCATGCCAAAGGTATCTTCTAAGGTAACAATTTTTGTAAATCCAGTTGTAAGAATCCTGCTACACTGTGCTCAGTATCAGCTGAAAATCAGTATTTTCAGTCCTTTAAAAGCAGTAAAATAAAAGCTATTGAATATGACTGTGCAGGGATCCAGATTTGAAGAGGAAAAGCTCCCTCAGAATACATGGGGCCACTCACTTCACACCTATCAGCAGTTCTGTGTGATGCCAGGAAAAGATATGTTTGATTTAAAGAGGTGCCAGTAGGTGCATTGTGAGAACAAAATGAGAGGAAAAAACACAAGAAGTGTTTCTGAGAGCTAAGAGCATCTTCTCTTTGCTTGTAAAACTGTAGAGAAAATAAAGGCAAATGTCACTGTAATTTTCCTTTCTTTGGGTAAAAAAAAGCAAAACCTCATAGTATACACTTAAACCTTTTGGCTTTTCAGTGAATAATTAGAGTTTGGAAGGCTGATAGGCCACTCCCTCCCTCCCTCCCTCCCTCTCTCTCTCCACATACATTGACCCACATAAACATACGTACACAGTTCTAGACACATTTGGATAAGATTTGAATTTCCTGGAAAAAGGCAAAACATGCATAATTATCGAATTCAAGCCAGTTCATCTTATTTGATGAACTTACCTTGGAAAAAACAAGCACCAAATTATGATGTGAATGTTTATAGTACATTCCCAAGCCAACTTTTTGATATTTTTCAAAACCTACCAATTACCCTACTGTTCCAATACATGTGAATAAGAGGAGCATTTAGCAAACTAACAAAATTATTCTGATGAATATTAAATCTTGGGTTTAATGTTGGGTCTGATATGATAAAGAGGGTACAGTAAGCCACTGAGAGTCAGTTTTAATTGGAGCAGCATATAAACCCATATGGCCAGCCCATAGTGCCATAAAGTTGTTTTTCCCATTTTTTGTATTGGGATATTTACTATCAAAATGATTGCAGGTGAAGGATTTTCTGTAAAATAGGGTTACCAATTACAGCTAGTCCTCACTTACTGACCACAATTGGTGCTAGAAACTCCGTTGCTAAGCACTGCGGTCCCTAAGTAGAAAAGCATGTGACTGTGATGGGCTTACAACCTCACTTCCCCTTTGGTCATTAAGCGAAGCCCTGTGGCTGTTAAGTGAAACATCATGGGACCTTCTGTATTAACTCTGTTAATACTTCTTTATTAACTCTGCTTGTTGCAAAACAGTTGCGAAGCACACGAATGGCAATCACGTGACTGCAGGATGCTGCAATGTTCGTAAATGCAAGAATTGGTCACAAGCTATTTTATTTACACTGTCATAACATCAAATGATCAATAAAGAGGCAGTTGGTAAGCAAGGACTACCAGTATGGGCAGTCAAAATCCAGATGACCATGATGTGATAGCAAAACGTCCTGTGGAATTTTAAAATTCAAATCTGATAGCTCAATTTTAAAGTAGATTGTGGGCTGATCTATACTTCCTGCTGGGCTACTTACCATTTTGGGAGGTGGGAATAGATGACATCATCCTCAGCTTGTGTCTAAGTTGCTGGGAAAGTGACCACCACTTCTTGCTCTTCATCAAAAATAGTGCTTCCCCCCTCCACTGGTGGAATCAGGACAGTCTACCATATGCTTCATTTTCTCTTACACAAATATGCCTTCATTCCAGTTGGATGGTGTGTGCTCTTGCAGCTATGTTCATCCCCCACCCCCCCATCTTCAACAGGCATTTTTTCTGCTGGGCTACCTGCCATAAAAGGGTGGTTCTGTTATTGCTGTTGCTGTTACAACTTCAGTAGTGAAAGGGTGAAATGCTGGTTATTTCTCTCCTCAACCCCCACCCCTTTTACCTGGGTGAAATTAACAACTGTTTATTTTCAGGGTTTATATGCTGCTCCAATTAAAACTGACTCTCAGTGGCTTACTGTACCCTCTTTATGTACATCAGGTTAAAGAACACAAAGTCTAAAAGAAATAATACAGTTCAGTACAAAGCATAGTGATAGAGAGAGGGGAAAAGCCTAGTGTTCTACAACTGTAGTCTTTTCTGTAGGTAAATCATTGAGACCATGTGGTTTTCATTGAAGACCTTTGGCATGACCTCTTTGTGCTTGCAATCTTCCCATCTAGTACACCTGCCCATACACCACTGTATATTATTTTTCTTGTCACTTGGTGGAACTCTTTGCCAAATTCAGCTGGTGGGGGAAAAAATAAAAGAAAAGAAAGATCCACAGTTTTACAGTGAAGATAAAAAATCTTAACAGTCAAGATAGAAAAAAAGAAAGAAAAACTCCAACCTTTCACCAGTCCAGCAGCCCAGGATGAATGAAATGGCCACAGAAGGCAGTCGCCAGGGGCCAGTTGGATCTGTGACATCTTTCATAAAATGAAACACACCAAATGAAAGATAATACCACTTGAAATGGTGCACTATGGATAAGACAAGTTTGAAACAAAACACATGCAGTGTCTAACCCTTTCGATGTGAATATAGTCCTTGTTTTTCTCTGTCATTCAAAAAAAAAAAATCTGTAGGCTTTTTTATTTTTGATTGAACCATTTTTTACTAATATTTACAAGGATATTTTGCCCTCATGGCTTTTTTCTCCCCTTTTGGTTTCCTTTCAATGGGAAATACTGAGGAGTTCAGAACATTTCCAAGAGAATGGGGTCTGAAGCAAGTTCCTCCAAATAAGATGGAATTTATGCTCCAAGAATAGCACCTCGTCTCACAATCCTGGTCATTTGTGAAACTGTTGAACAGATCTCTTTATAAGTGAACTGGACTTTACATAAATGTTTTATATTCCTTATTCTCTACAAGATATTCATGGAAAACCTCTGAATGGAAGGAATGTGACGTTTCTCTCCTGTTAGAACGGCAGGACCCTCGACTTGATAAACGTGCAGCGCTCTGTGGAGGTGGGATACAGATTCGCGAGGTCTACTGTGCCCAGACGATAGTGGAGGAAATGCACAAGTCAAAGGAAGGTACATAGAAATTATTTATGTCTCCTATGGTGGAAGAGGTGGTGGTGGGGTTTACAGAAAATCCCATTTTTATATCTAGGTGATCTGGGGGGAAAGGCTCACTATTCCCAGTCTATGTGACTGTACTAGATGAAATGAAGCAGTGCTTTGCATCTGTGCAAGGCAGTCTGCATTCTTATAAATAACCAAATTGGCATGAAATAAAAACGGAAAGGAAGAATGTGCTTGTACTGCAGCAAAATGAGAAAAGTACGATTCTGAGTTCCCATAGCAAGTAAATGAAATTAGATTCATTTTATGTAGTACACATGTATGCACACCATGCACAAACACACCACATATACCTGCTGGTAGATTTAAGGGATCCAGAAAAAGATCTTTTCCTCTCTTTCTATGCGTGGAATGTAATGTGTCAACTATCTTTCCCATTCATTTCAGTGGAAAATGCAGACCACCACATAAGATCGTCCCTGTATATATGTAAGAGTGATGTATGTACTTGTGAGGCTTAGGTCATTTATAAAGATAATATTAAAAGATTCTCCTACCATGAACTTAAGAGGACAGTTTGAAATTTTTAAAAAAAATTATATTGGAAGAGTGGATGTATTATCTGAATGTGCAATTGTCAGATAAGGCTTTGGTGTATTTGTTTTAGTTTCTGAAACTGACTTGTTTTCTGGATTCAGAAGTCATTACAGATAAATAATTCATCTTTGCCTAGGTTTTGTTTTGTTTTAACTATACCCATTCTTTCTGCCAAATACAATTTAGTTGCAGAAACGGTGGTAATAATACTGCACTGAAAACCCAGGACTGGCTTGTTTACAAAGAAAAAGCAAGTCTGTCTTTAAGAGAGGTTATTTGCCTTCCCATTCAGCCTGCACCCACTATTTGCTGCTGCTGAATATCGATTCTGTCTATTTTAGGAGGGGGCTTGTGCACCTTTCCTTCCATCTCACCCACCACAAAGAACACCTTTGCCTCCTGCTAATCTCATATACTGCATTTGCAGGAAGAATTTTTATGAAGTGAGGCAAGATAATGACTCTGTTCATTAGCGATTCTGCTATGTATTATCTTCTGCTTTCTTTTCTCTGGATGGGTGCCCTTGTGTCAGGGTTTTGCTGAACAGATATGGAACCATCAAAAAAACTTAAGGGGACTGACTTGATCCAAGCCATAAAAGCAGAGCTTTGATATTGTCTAATCAAAAATATAAAAGCATTGCAATACAGCCAACTTATAGAAGTCAGTTCTTAGAATTAATTATGAAAATCATGGTTAATTGGTTTAGTCAACTGCTGTGGGGAAAAGATTTTCCCAAGTTTTATGCTGCTTTAAAATTGAAGGAGGAATGTTTCCCATAATAACCATCAAAGACCAGTTAAAACTGCTGTTTTAGTATATTACAATAAAAGCACTTCAATCTCTCTCTTTAGAAGCTCTCAGAATGTTATAGAGTCTACCTTCCCTGAAGCATTCAGAGCAGAGAGATACAGATTTTACATTATGTCATGCCCCCATGCATAGGGTTTTACTTGTTCCCACCTCTTATTATTACACAGTACATAAACTATGTGGTGTTTTCAGTTACACTGACCACCAGGAGGCACTACATGACTGGTTCCATCCTGTGTGGGATTTATTAGACATTGGTGGCCAGATGTTATTCTGTGGGGTTCAAATCCTCTACTAGGAATTGAAGTCATGGACCTCAGTGTGCAGAGTGTAGACTGTATACAGTGCATTAGCTTTAAGAACTGTCTGTGGTGCTCAGTGGTTACAGGACTGATATATAGAAGCTCTCAGAATATACTTTACTTTGTTCTCTATCTGACACAGAATGGGTACATTTTATTTAGTTTAAAGACAAAGCTGAGTAGCATCCAAACTTTATTTTTCAAAAAAAAAAAAATCAGCCATTATCTCAGAATCCTAGGTAAAAACTGATCCCTACAGCACCAACTGTAGCACAAACTATCTGATTCCAATTGAAATCCCTGTTTTGAAATGATTCTAAATACAGTCCTTTTGGTTGAAATATCTTGCCTTATTTCTGTGCTACCTTTGACTTTTCCCAGCGTTCTGTTTGTTATGCATCTCACAGAATTTGACAATCTGTTCATTTTTTTTTTCATCTTATGTTTAGTCCTAAGAAAGGTTTTGCTCAAGTGGTCATATAATATAATGCAGGGGTTTCCATTCTGTGGGTTTTTCAAACTTGTGGAAGGAGGGCCATGACCAAATTTGAGGGTCACTAGAAATTTGAAAGGGATTTGTCCACTTAAGACATGGACCCTGGCAGAACTTCCTTCTGCTCTTCTTGGCAGACACTTATCCAGGAGACTGTTGTCAGGCAGGGATTTGGTGTGATCTTGCAGGAATCCAGCTCTGGACATTAGTAGTATGCACAACTGGGGCTTGACCTCAAGATGCAGGGAGAAATCCCAGAGCAACTTTTGCAGGGACCCAACCCCATATGCCCATAGCATGGATGCCTGCAGTTGGACTGCTGTCTGGCTTATGGAATAATACATGCTTGGCTCAGGAATAAAAATGGCAATCCAATAAACCAGAATACATTGGATCACTAGGAACAAACATTCCTGCACACTCCTTCTTTCCTCTTACCCTTCTTTTTCTTTTTTCATATAACTCATGTAATGTACTCCTGTGTATTTAGAGATTATACTAGTTCATTCCTTTTCTTATTTAGATGTTATAGTTTACATAACCTTACATTTTGCCTTAAGACATGGCAAAGAAGGGGCTGGGCTACAGACTGATCTTCGCCTGCAGTAATCCCTCCAGACTGAATAATACAGCGATTAAGAAAAGCAGAAAGCACATAGGAGACGGAGACATGGCCATGAATGGCTTATGAGGATAAAGTTGTTTAGTGTTAAGGGGAAGCATAGAATGAAACTCTCTGCTTTCTCATATTTTGAGGTTTTCACCACCTCCATAAGAGCCAAAAATGTACTAAAAAAACCAAGCAAATTGTGACATAGGAGGAGTGACTTATCAACCTTACTTATTACTTAATTGCAATCTATAAATGGATATATAGAGTCCAGTGACTATCAAGTCATTATATTGGAGTGTTAAAAGTTAGTACATTTGTGATTCTGCTTGACAATAAGCCACATGCAAGGTTACCAATGTTCTTGACCCAGAAGGAAGTATACTGCATTCTTTGCTTATTCTTTGCATGTCCCACAGGCTTTGGTCTGTGAGAGGAGGGGTTACCAAGAAATTGGGTTTTGCCAATCATAATGAAGAAAGAAAGGATGATGGAAAGTAATATGGTACTTTCCTTCTCTAGGTCACTTAGCCCATGGTCATTCAGAATGGTCAGAACTAGAAGGATTGATCAGGAAAGATGCTTTTAAAATTCTGTTTATCTTACCTGTGCTTGCCACCTAAAATGTATCAATTAGAAGTCCCTAATACTAACAATGAGATTGTGGATTTTGCTGATGAAAAACTGCAGTTCTATTCTTAATAGAAACAAACTCAATATACCTGGCTGGATAGAATAATAAGCTTGGGAAAAGAATAAATAACAAATTCTTGTGAATACTTCAGAAAAATAAGAGAAGGATAGAAGAAAAAGTATGATCTTCAAGAGTCAAATATTTAATATTTTCATTAAGTCCCGTGGGGATTAAACTATTACAAGATCAATTTTATGTCTTTTCTTAATAAACGTGTTTGATTAGTACTATCATCATCAACATTATTGGTTTCTTTCAGAACTCAAAATTGTAGCTCTGAAATCTTTTTTCCATTAAAAAAAAGTGATTTTAAAATATTTCCTAAGCGTTCCTCAATTTAGGGCTTTTAGGGCTCTAAATTATCTTGCTTACATACATTTTGGGACATGTTCTTTTTCAGAGTTTGCTAGTAATTTCTAATCAACATCTTTTACCTGATAAGTAGTAGTAAGGTCCATGTATTGTTTAAAACAAATAGTTTTTCTCTTAGTCATTGGGAAAAGACCGAAATACTGAGGCATTTTGAGCAACTTTTTAAAGATATGCAGATTCATCTTGTTTACTTTTATTCAACACATAAAAGTAAATCCTGATAAAAGAAGATGAGCCAAGATGTTTTTAAAATCCGAATTTAATTTCCCTTTAATGGATGTTTTTTAGTTGTGCAAATGGCTGTTCTTTGATTTAGCTCCATTTTATTTGAATGCTTATTTGTTTCAGTACTTTAGAGATAAAATAAGCAGAGTAGAAGATTCTACATATATTTTAGTTGCAGATGCAGACAACATATTGTGTTGAATGTTGCTCTTACCTTATTTTAGACACTGATGTTTTACATGGATAAAATTATATAAAATTTTATATGGTTTTGTTTATAGTACCATTGATAAAGGAATTTTCTGAAATATTTTGGACTTCTATACAATAAAATATCTCCTACCAGTAGTGGAGATACTCTGTATTTCCTCTTTTTTCATTGAGACAACAACATTTTTCTTCTTCATCTGTATTCTCCAGAATCATGCTATTCCTTTTAGTCATTTTACTTTCTAAATAGAGGTCAAAAACCTTATGTATGATTGGTCTACATAGGCAAGGGCTAATACTAGGCAAAAACTCTTAAATTTATCATGCAGATTTGAGAAGAAAGGGGCACATACTGCATTTTTTTCTCTGTCCCAAAAGAGGATGTGCTTAGTCAAAATCTTATCTCATGCCCCTTTTAAAAGCCATTGGGAGCTCCAGTTCCAGCACTCTTTCACGGCAGTGCATCCTACCACAGTGATTGGCAGCAGGTCCACAGCTCAATAGGTCACATTGCCTACAGCACGATGAAGCTTGCCATCTTGTTCTAAAGGTCCGATTTTATATCAGAAGATGGAGGAAGAGTTCCTGATGGTGTCTGTCTGTTTTTGACAAGCTTAAAGGAGACAGCTTTAACTATTTTAAATACATGTTGTTATATGTTTGCAGAGGTTCACACACACAAAAACATCTCTG